TATGTGGTGCTGAGGAATCAAACCCAGGGCCTCATGCATACAAGGCAAGCACTCTACCACTGAGCCACCTTCCCAGCCCGTCCCTGAACTACTTTTATTCAAAGCTAGTGCTCTATTAGTTGAACTACAGCTCTACTTCTGGCGGACATTCCTGCCAGGGCTGGCTTCAAGCCATGACCTTCAGATCTCAGAAACAGCTAGGTTTACAGGCATGAACCACCAGCATCCACCAGCTTTTGTTGAGGGTTTTTTTTAATACTGTTTTCATGTATGGTTGTGGAATATCTCAAAACTATTCACCCTCAAAATTATTCTTTTTCCTTTTTCCCTTCCCCTGCTGAGTATTCCTTATTTAGACTCATTCTATATGAGTCTCTCTCTCTCTCTACACACACACACACACACACACACACACACATCTTTAATACTTGGTCAAAAAATCTTAAATTAGGGGGCTGGAGGTATGGTTCAAGTAATACAGCAGCTGCCTAGCAAGTGTGAGACTCTGGGTTTGATCTCAACACTAAAAAAAAATCTTAAAATTGGGGCCTTTCCCAGCAGGCTGTTTTTATTATAGCAAAAAGTAAGAGCCATATTTCTTCAAGCAATCATCACAGAATAGTTATGTGTATTTGTTTTAGTCATTTGGAAACATTCATGAAAGTCCCTAAATACAAACTATACAGAGAAGACAAAGTATATGAGAAGCCGTACAGGATTCCCTGAAGGATGTCCATATTGCATTATGTTTTCCAGCAAGATGACAGTTGCCATACTTAGGGCTCTGAAATTCCCAATGTAATTAAAGTCTTATAATGGACCACATTATATAGGGAAATATTTCTGATCCATTGCAAATAATTTTTTTTGTTTTTTGTTTTGTTTTTTACCAGTCATGGGACCTGAGCTCTGAGCGTGGACTCTGTCCCTCAGCTCTTCAGTTCAAGGCTAGCATTCTACCACTTAAGCCACTGTGCCACTTCTGGCTTTTTCTGCTTATGTGGTGCTGAGGAATCGAACCCAGGGCCTCATGCATGCAAGGCAAGCGCTCTACCACTGAGCCACCTTCC